ATGGGGCCTCAAGTCCAACTAGACAGCTAATGATTACCCCAAAGCTAAAAGTATCACTATTACACCAATAGGGATATTTTGCTAGACTGATCATTTGTGTGGTTTGTAGGCTTTACAGCTAGGTAAGACCATTGATTGTTTTTCTCCCTTAGTAGCTTGTATAGTGTCTTCTCTTTTTTGTATTTTTTTTTAATCATTATTTTTTTTTCATACAGAAGAATTCATTCCAAGGCATTTGACATTGAGACGTTTTCACATGCATTTCTAATCTCTATATACATGACTATCACTGGTCACAGTCGCCCACCTTCTGAGCTCCTCGGCATCTGAGCATGAATACAAACTCGTCAGATAGACAGCCTTCCTCTCCCACTAGAGGCTCCATACTCTGCCATCCGTGTCACTGTCCACCGTGCTGTCAGCACCCTCATCCATTCCCCCTGTCTGCCCTTCTGGTAAATCTAGTCAGCCAGAGGTCCCTGTTCCAGGAGGGTCAGCTGTTCCTCATCTACGGCAATCCATTGTCAGTATTCCTTTGGATAGAATTGGGGTCTGCTGTTCATTTTTCCAGTAGTATGTTGGGTTACTGTTTGGAAGAGCCTTTATCTATCCTAGCCAACAACTCGACTGAAGGTATCGCCTGTCTGGCTTTGTTGTTTGTCGAGCAACTTTTAGTTATGTATATGTATGCTCTTATGATATTATGTTGGCCCCTTTAATCTTTGGTTATACTTCCCTTTTGGGTGTTTAAGGACATGCAATTGGACCAGATAAACTGATTTGTTTTTACTCTTGAGGTCGTTAGAGGATTTGTTCCTCAGGGGTCCCATGGGGTTGGGAGGAGCCCCTGGCTCCTTTCTTTTACCAGCTCCATCCATGTGAGGATAAGTCAAAGGTCCTGCTCGACCATTGTTGGCTTCTCTTGGAAGCATGGAATTTTTTATAGTTTTTAACATCACTAGTTTGCTTTTGTGCACCCCAGCCCCAATGGTCTTTATTTTATAGTGCATGCCTCTGTGTGTGGAGGGGGTGTCTTTTTTTTCCATCTATTTGTTGTAAATGATGTTTCATTTTTCACATTTAAAGTTTTGGTCTCTCTTTACATTTATTTTGGTGCAGAGGCAGACACTAAGGACCTAGCTCAAATTATTTTTTTCCCAATAGCTCACCAGCTGGTATTAATCATTTCTATGATTTCTATGATTAGTCCTTTTCAGCACTATAAGCTAATGTTATTCTCTCCATTTTATTGAGAGGCAAAGCATCTATGTGGTTTTTTTCTAAGAATCCACAAACATACAGCAATTACTGATGAAGATGTGGTATAATCTTGAGTCAGACTCTATCCAGGGTTCTAGAAGCCTTCCTATTAGGCTGACATTGCTGCTAAGTCTGGAAGTGGGGTAGAAGATTCGGTGTGGGGGTAGTAGGCTCAGCAGATGGGGCTAATGCAGGTAGACGAGAAAAGTATCACCATTGTGGTCTTGGGTCACTGTAGGCTGGGTCATGTGTACCTGGAAGGAAGGAGACAATTGGAAAAAACTGCAGGCAGCTTTGTAGTCTGCAATACTGAGTTGGACTTTTTCACAACAGAGTTTGTGTGTGTATGTGTGTGTGTGTGTGTGTGTGTGTGTGTTATCTGTAAGGACTTTTTGTAGGTATAAATGACTAGTTGGTTTGGTTTTTCAAGATAGGGTCTCATGTGGCTCAGGCTGGTCTAGAACTTGGTATATAGATGGCCAAGGATGATCTTAAACTTGATTTCTTCTGCCTTCACCTTCCAAGTGCTGGGATTACAGTCATGTGCCACCACACTGATTTGTTTGCTTTTGCAACTATGTCTCACTATGTAACTCAGGCTGACCTTCAATCTGTGACCTTCCTGCCTCTCCCTCT